TCCCAAAGTGCTAGGATTACAGGCGTGAACCACCGCACCTGGCCAGGATTAAACTTCAGTATGAGATTTGGAGGGGACAAACATCCAAAGTTTAGTAACATCCCAGATGGCTCAGTCACATGGTTGGCAGTTGATTACAGTGGAAGTGGAAGCACAGTGTTTTCAGAGCCCTCTGGCATGGTACCCGGCCTCCCCCGAGCGATAGTCTCAAGAGAACCAAGCGGAAGATTCTTATCCTTTTCTGACTTCTCCTCAGAGTTTGTGCAGCACCTGCGGTTACACCTGAGCCACTAGGGCCAGCCCAGACTCAAGGGAAGGGGACAAATTCACTTCTCAATGGGGAAAGGGTCAAAGACTTTGAAAACATATGTTTTTGGATTCCGGTTTTTGTCGTGTTTTTTTTGCAAGTCTCACTCTGGCACTCAGGCTGAAGTGCAGTGGCACTGCAGCCTCAAGTTCCTGGGCTCCAGAGATCCTCCTGCCTCAGCTTCCTAAGTAGCTGGGACCACAGGCTCATGCTGCATGCTTGTGTTTTGTTGTTGCTTGTTTTGTTTTGCTGGTTTGTTTGTTTGAGACAGAGTCTCGCTCTGTCACCCAGAGTGAAGTGGCATGATCTTGGCTTACTAAAACCTCCACCTCCCGGGTTCAAGCAATTCTTGTTCCTCTGCCTCCCAAGTAACGCCACCATGCCTGGCTAATTTTTTGTAGTTTTAGTAGAGACAGGGTTTCACCATGTTGGTGGTGTTGGTGATTTCACCATCTGAGGTCACTCCTGACCTCAGATGATTTGCCCACCTTGGCCTCCCAAAGTGCTGGGATTACAGGCATGAGCCACCACACCTGGCCCCCTCCTTAAATTTTCATCCTGGTCCCCTAATTTGACCCACCCTACTTCCAGCCCCCAAAAGGCTATTGCTGTGAGCAGCTAGAGGTCATTTGTTCTGGGGATGCTGAGAAGATCAAGGAATCATGTAGAAGTGACCTAGAATTGACCCTCCAAGGAAAAGGATAGCTGCAGCATTTATTCAATTGCTTTCAGCCCTCACTGGTTGAGGATTGCTACTGGGGGAATCTATCCTGCTACTACCAGTCCATTCTGCATTCAGAGAATAGAAAGACCTCGGCCTCTGGCAGAGAAGCAGAAAGAGCCAAGCACATGAGATAGGAAACTGTCAGCCTGTGTGGCAACTGTCCACAGTAAACACAAGCTGAGGGGATACAGTAGGGGCATCAGCTGGTGTGCTACCATATATTCCAGAAAGCCTCCCACACAGAGGACAGGTGTCAGCTAGAGGCATCACTGGGGGAGTAGATAAGTAAAAGTGCTGCGGTTGTGTACACCGTGAAATACGGTACAGCAGTCATAAACAGAAAACTTGATATACACAGCTGTGTGAAGAGATCTCAGAAGCAGTGTTAAGTTAAAAAAAAAAAAAGAAAGAAGTAGAAGATTTATAACACAATCCTGCTTATGTAAATTGGAAACACATACACACACAAAATCACAAATTATAAAGATACATCTTTGCAGCTATTTATCAAGCGCATTATAGTGGGTGTCTGTGGGGGTGCAGTGGGAGTGGGAATTGGCAATGGGGGAGTAAAAGCCTTGGGGGGTCTTTCATGGGCCAATTGTGAACGTGTGTTATGATCTGAAGAGAATGATTAATAACTTTCTGTACCAAAGGGCTAAGAAAAAAAATAAAGGAGTGAAAAATATGAAATACCTACACATCAGAGCAGTTTCTTACCTGCTACGCAATTATTATTACTGCAGGGACGATGACAGCAAGGCAACCAGACTCACCGCCCACCTTCTCTCCACACAGCCCCTCCAGTCCCCAGGAAATGCACTTGCCCCCAGCAAATCAGAAGCTTTCTTCCCCTTTCACGCTACCCTTGAAAGGAGACAGAAAGGAGAAGTGGGCCTGTTACCCTCAGAGGTTCTCATCTTCTACTGGGCTGCATATGGAATAGGAAGCAAGTGCACAGGACTCTGATCATACCCCATCTCTGCCACTAGCTGGCTGTGGGACCTTAGGCAAGTCACTTTTTTTTCCTATGCCTCAGTTATCTCACCAGTAAAATGGGCATGATTATTGTATTAGTCAGGGTTCTCCAGAGAGACAGAACCAATAGGATGGGTGGATGGATGAATAGATAAATAGATGATAGATAGATCAGATAGACAGATAAATAGACAGATAATAGCTGGATACAGTGGCTCACATCTGTAATCCCAGCGCTTTGGGAGGCCAAGGCAGGTGGATCACTTGAGGCCAAGAGTTCAAGACTGGCCTGGCCAACATGGCAAAATCCCACCCCTACAAAAATTAGCCAGGTGTGGTGGTGGGCACCTGTAATCCCAGCCACTTGGGAAGCTGAGGCAGAGAACCACTTGAACCCTAGAGGCAGAGGTTGCAGTGAGCCAAGATTGTGCCATTGCCGTCTAGCCTGGGTGCCAGAGCAAAATTCTGTCTCAAAAAAAAAAAAAAAAACCCAGATAAAGATGGCTGGGCACAGTGGCTCACACCTGTAATCACAACACTTTGGGAGGCCAAGGTGTATGAATCACCAGAGGCCAGGAGTTCGAGACCAGCCTGGCCAACATGGTAAAACCCCGTCTCTACTCAAAATACAAAATATTGGCCAGACATGGTGGCCTGTAATCCCAGTACTTGGGAGGCTGAAGCAGGAGAATCACTTTAACCTAAGAGATAGAGGCTGCAGTGAGCTGAGATCTCGCCATCCATCGCACTCCAGTCTGAGCAACAGTAGTGAAACTCCGTCTCAAAAAATAATATAGATTGATTATTAGATGATAAATGATACATAAACAGACTAGATATCTAGAGAGATAGACTAGCTACATAGATGATTGACAGATTAGATAGATATAGATACATATAAAAGATGATAGATGATAGAGATAGAGAGCTAGAAGATTAGATATAGATAGATAGATAGATAGATAGATAGATAGGAATTTATTAGGGGAATTGGCTCAGACAATTATGGAGGCTAAGAAGTTCCCCAACAGGCCATCTGCAAGCTGGAGAACTAGGGAAGACTGTGGTGCAGTTCAGTTCAAGAACAAAAGCCTCAGGACTTGGGAGACAGCTGGTGTGAGTCCCAGCATTTTATTTATTTATTTATTTATTTATGAGACGGAGCGTTGCTCTGTCACCCAGGCTGGAGTGCAGTGGCATGATCTCAGCTCACTGCAGCCTCTGCCTCCAGGGTTCAAGCAATTCTCCTGCCTCAGCCTCCCGAGTAGCTGGGACTACAGGCATGTGCCACCACATCTGGCTAATTTTTGTGCTTTTAGTAGAGACAGGGTTTCACCATGTTGGCCAGGCTGGTCTCAAACTTCTGACCTCAAGTGATCTGCCTGCCTCAGCCTCCCAAAGTGCTGGGATTACAGGCGTGAGTCACTGTACCGGGGCTGCAAGTCCCAGCAATCAGAGGCCAGAGAGCTGGAGTTCTCATGTTCAAGGGCAGATGCAGTGTGTTCCAGCTCGTAAGAGAGAGCAAATTCACCTTTCCTCCACCTTTTTGTTCTATTCAGGTCCTCGGCCGATTGGATGGTGCCACCACATTCAGTAACAATGGGTCTTCCTTACTCAGTCCACTGAGTCAAATGCCAGTCTCTTCTGGAAGCACCTCAGAGTCATACCCAGAATTAACGTGTCACCAGCTATCTGGTAAACTTAACCAGTCAAGGTGACACCTAAAATTAACCATCATAATCATAAAAATAACTACTCAGAGAAACATTAGGAGCATGAACTGAGTTAGTTAATGGGACAATCTTAAACCAGTGGCAGAAGCTCCCTCTTGGATGGGAGCAGTGGCTCGTGCCTCTAATCCTAGCACTTTAGAAGGCTGAAGCAGGAGGATGACTTGAGGCCAGGAGTTCAAGACCAGCCTGGGCAACACAGTGAGATCCCCATCTCTACAAAAATAAATAAATAAGTAAATAATAAATAATAAAATACGGTGGTGGCTCACAACTGTAATCCCAGCACTTTGGGAGGCTAAAGCGGGTGGATCACCTGAGGTCAGGAGTTCGAGACCAGCCTGGCCAACATGGTGAAACCCTGTCTCTACTAAAAATACAAAAATTACCTGGGTGTGGTGGCACACACCTATAATCCCAGCTACTTAGGAGGCTGAGACAGGAGAATCGCTTGAACCCAGGAGGCAGAGGTTGCAGTGAGCCAAGATTGCGCCATTGCACTCCAGCCTGGTCAACAAGAGTGAAACTCCGTCTTCAAAAAATAATAATGATAGCCGGGTGCAGTGGCTCATGCCTGTAATCTCAGCACTTTGGGAGGCTGAGGCAGGTCAGGAGGTCAGGAGATCAAGACCATCCTGGCAAACATGGTGAAACCCTGTCTCTACTAAAAATACAAAAATTAGCTGGGTGTGGTGTCGCATGCCTATAATCCCAGCTACTCAGGAGGCTGAGACAGGAGATTAGTTTGAACCTGGGAGGCAGAGGTTGCAGTGAGGCGATATTGCACCACTGCACCCCAGCCTAGTGACAGAGCGAGACGTCTCAAAAAAAAAAAATAATAATAACAATAAAATTTAAAAAGAAGCTTTTTTTTTGGAAACAGGATCTCACTCTGTTGCCCAGGCTGGAGTGCAGTGGCACAATCTTGTCTCACTGCAACCTCCGCCTCCCAGGTTCAAACTAATCTCCTGTCTCAGCCTCCTGAGTAGCTGGGATCACAGGTGCAGGCCACCACACCTGGCTAATTCAAAATAACAAAGAAGTTTTCTCCCTGCCACTTAGGTAGCCTTATCCATAACCTCAGCCTCCCTCAGGGACTTCCTGAGGCCAGGTGCCTGAGAGCCACCCAGGGAGTAAGAAATTTACTTTCTCTTTCCTTTCTGATGCAGCTCCCACCTCATTTACCCCCCACCCACACCTGTTCCCTCACCAGGCTCCCAGAGTGGCCCCACCCACTCATGCCTTTAAAGTCAAAGTGGAAATTCTCATTTCCAATTACCTTTTCACTTTACATACATCATCCCGGATTGCTCATCTTGGGCATTGCTCATTCATTTCCCGGCTAAAAAGCAGAGCCATGCCGCTGGGGAAGCAGTTGCGATTTAGCCATGGCTGCAGCTTGGATCGTGGTGCTGGTGACTTTGGTGCTAGGTTTGGCTGTGGCAGGCTCTGTCTCCACTTCCAAGCCCATCACTACTGGGAAGGGCTGCCACATTGACAGGTACAAATCTCTGCCACCGCAGGAGCTAGCGAGCTTCAAGAAGGCCAGGGATGCCTTGGTAAGTGCCTGTTGCTATGCGCTAACCTCCACTAGTGTCTGCTAATGTGGGCTAGCCTCTAGCCTTCCAACTATGGTGAACCTGTATCCTTCCTGCACTGGGTTAAACCCATGCTGTCAGACCAACTTCATCTTTGCTGCTATGAGCTAGCTTCCAGCCCTCCTGCTGTGGGCTAACCTCTGCCCTGCTACTGTGGGCTAACCTCTAGCCTTCCAACAATGGCGAACTTCTATCTTTTCTGCACTGGGTTAAACCCATGCTGTCAGGCCAATTTCATCCTTGCTGCTATGAGCTAGCTTCCAGCCATCCTGCTGTGGGCTAACCACTACCCTTGCTCTCTAGGAAGAGTCATTCAAGCTGAAAGACTGGAATTGCACCTCTCCTGTCTTCCCCAGGAATTGGGACCTGCGGCTGCTCCAGGTGAGCTGGAAGTCAGGCCACCTTCACCCTTACCTTGACCCTCTCCCCTATCTCCTTAAGTGGCCCCTCAGCCTTCTTCATTTCCCGTGTCCCCCTCTCTTCCTTCTTGGTGCCCAGGCTGGAGTGCAATGGCGCAATCTCGGCTCATCACAACCTCCGCCTCTCAGGTTCAAGCGATTCCCCTGCCTGAACTTCCCAAGTAGCTGGGATTACAGGCGCCCGCCACCACACCCAGCTAACTTTTGTATTTTTAGTAGAGATGGGGTTTCATCATGTTAGCCAGGCTGGTCTTGAACTCCTGAGCTCAGGTGATTCACCTGCCTCAGCCTCCCAAAGTGCTGGGATTACAGACGTGAGCCACCAGGTCCAGCCCCACCCTACTTCTCTGAGCATGTAACTGTCCCTCCCACTGCACTCCAAACCTGTTTTCTCTTCACCCGTCCCAGCAACCCCCTGAAGTCCCCTTTCATTTATCTGCATTTCACTTATCCCCTCACCTGCCTCCTTGACCTTCCTGCCTCACCTGTATCCTTCCTCATGTCTTCTCCCTCTGTCTCCTTCTCCCCAGACCCCACATCTGTCCCCAACACATGCACCGAGTCACCGACCCTCCCTGGGACTGCCTACCTGTCCCTGCTAACTGAACCTTCCCTCACCTGCTCTTTCTCACCTCTTCTCAGGTGAGGGAGCGCCTCGTGGCCTTGGAGGCTGAGCTGGCCCTGACACTGGAAGTTCTGGAGGCCACTGCTGACAATGACACGGCCTTGGGGGACGTCCTGGACCAGCCTCTTCACACCCTGCACCACATCCTCTCCCAGCTCCGGGCCTGTGTGAGTCCCCGGAGCCCAGACACCCAGGTCTGTGGCTCTGAGCAGCGGCTTCCCCTGTACTAGGCCAGCGCTATCTCACACACCACCCTCCTCTGCACACAGGTCCAGCCTCAGCCCACGGCAGGGCCCAGGCCCCAGGGTCGCCTCCACCATTGGCTGCACCGGCTCCAGGATGCCCCGAAAAAGGTAAGTGACCCAGGAGGGGAGGGACCGGGGTCTAGGGAGCCACTGGGAGCCCAGATCCTGGACAGCCCCTGACCCATCCCCTCCTCCCCTGCAGGAGTCCCCTGGCTGCCTCGAGGCCTCTGTCACCTTCAACCTCTTCCGGCTCCTCACACGGGACCTGCATTGTGTCGCCAGTGGTGACCTGTGACTGAGAACCTCGACCCACCCCGAGTCCACCTGACACCCCACACCTTATTTATTTATGTGCTGAGCCCCCCTCCTTCCTTAAATTATTTCCTCTCACCCTTTATTTATGAAGCTGCAGCCCTGACTGAGACCTAGGGCTGAGTTTATGGTTTTACTTTTATACATTACGCATCAATAAACAACAAGGAATTAAAACCCTCTGTGATAGGTGAATCTTGAGTGTGTGTGTGATTGTGGGTCTGTGACTGGTTGTGTGTATTTGTGTGTGCCTGACTTCTGTGACTGTGTGTGTATCTGTATGCATGGGTGTCGGCCTGAACTTGAGCCATACGAAGGTACAGAGCTGTGAGTGTTCGTGCCCACATGTGTGCAAGTATGTGCTCGTACTGCCAGGCACGGTGGCTCATGCCTGTAATCCCAGCACTTTGAGAGGCCAAGACAGGCAGATCACTTGAGGTCAGGAGTTCAAGACCAGCCTAGCCAACATGGTTAAACCCGGTGTTTCACCATGAAAAGGAAAGGAAAGGAAGGGAAGGGAAAAGGAAAGGGAAGGAAAGGAAAGGGAAGGAAGAAGGAAAGGGAAGGGAAGAAGGAAGGAAGATAGAGGGAGGGAAAAGGAAAAGAAAAGAAGAAAAAGAAAAGCTCTCAGGATGCTACAACCTGGCACCTAACCACAGTGCTGTGAGAAGCTCGGACATACAGAGAGGCCACAAATCCGTGCTCCATAGGATAATCGCAGCACAGCTTTTGAATTATCCCAGCTCAGGAAGCAGACATGTGCATGAAGAAGCACTTAGATAACTCTAGGTCCCAGCTGGAGTACAGAGCATCACCACTGGGCTCTGATTAAGTTCCTGACCCACAGAAACTGTGAGCATAATATTTGTTTTATGCCACTGAGTTTGGTTTGTTATAAGGCAATATTGGGACAGTGAGACAGCCATCAGTCCATCACAATTCACTGTGAGGTGGGTCATGAGAAATTTATTACCAAAAGTAACCCATCAAAGTTTCTTTTTTGGGTTGGGGAGAGGGGAATAGGGTCTGGCTCTGGCGCCCAGGCTGGAGCACAGTGGCGCGATCTGCGATCTGTCTCAGATACTGCAACCCCCACCTCCCAGTTTCAAACCGTCCTCCCAGCTCAGCTTTCCCAGCAGCTGGGACTAAAGGTGTGTGCCTCCACGCCCGCCTAGTTTTTGTATTTGTTGTAGAAATGGGGTTTTGTCATGTTGCCCAGACTGGTGTCGAATTCCTGGACTCAAGCAATCCTCCTGCCTCGGCCTCCCAAAGTGCTAGGACTACAGGCGTGAGCCACCGCAGCAGCCCCACCACAGTTTCTGAATGGTTGACTTTTGTCACGATAGGGATTTCAGAATGGAATTCTATTCTGTGATTCTATGAATCTCACTTCTTTGCATTCTTTGTTGTGTGTGTTTGATGGTTTGTGACGGAGTCTCGCTCTGTTGCCCAGGCTGGAGTGCAATGTCCAGATCTCAGCTCACTGCAACCTTCGCCTCCTGGGTTCAAGCCATTTTCCTGCCTCAGCCTCCTGAGTAGCTGGGACTACAGGTGCGTGCCATCACTCCCAGCCAATTTTTGTCTTTTTACTAGAGATGAGGTTTCACTACATTGGCCAGGCTGGTCTCGTACTCCTGGCCTCAAGTGATCCTCCCACCTCAGCCCCCCAAAGTGCTGGAATTACCAGCATAACCCACCACGCCCAGCCTCCTTTGCATTCTTGAGTATTTTCTTGATTAGGAATCAGAGGGCTGGAGAACAGCCATACACAAAAAAATTACACACAACCCACAGGCAAAAACTGAAGCACCCCTCTTGATAACCAAAAACAAGTTAAATGTGGCCGGGTGCGGTGGCTCACACCTGTAATCCCAGCACTTTAGGAGGCCTAGGTGGGAGGATTGCTTGAGCACAGGAGTTAGAGACCAGCCCGGGCAACACAGCGACCTCGTCTCAACAAAAATAATTAAAAATTAGGTAGGTGTGGAGGCACGTGCCTGTAGCCCCAGTCCCAGGAGAATTGAAGAGGTTGAGGCTGCAGTGAGCCACAATCTTGCCACTGCACTCTAGCCTGGGCGACAAAGTAAGACTGTCACAAAAAATAAAAAATCAACGTGGAAAATTTTTAACCAAAAAAAAATGAACTAAAAAAATTTATTTGTAAATTAAAAAGAATTTTACACACAACCTCACAGCCATTCCCTCTATATCATAGAGTCTATGACTAGCAGAACCTCAGTTCAGGTAGGGGGCAGCATAGTGCCCAGCCCGGGACATGAATTTCTGTCCCTTTTGCCTGCTACCTGCTTTCCCAGGCTCCCTCACAGCTCAGAGTGGACATGCAACTAAGGGCTGCTTTTTTTTTTTTTTTTTTGAGATGGAATCTCACTCTGTTGCCCAGGCTGGAGTCCAGTGGCGTGATCTCGGCTCACCTCAATCTCCGCCTCCTGGGTTCAAGCGATTCTTGTGGTGCCTCAGCCTGCTGAGTAGCTAAGATTACAGGTGCTGGGATTACAGACGTGAGCCACCACACCTGGCCTACTAAGGGCTTCTTAAATAAATTAATTTATGCCAGGTGCAGTGGCTCACTCCTGTAATCCTAGCACTTTGGGAGGCTAAGGCGGGTGGATCATGAGGTCAGGAGATGGAGATATCCTGGCTAACACAGTGAAATTCCGTCTCTACCAAAAACACAAAAAATTAGCCAGGTGTGGTGGCATGCGCCTGTAGTCCCAGCTACTCGGAAGGCTGAGGCAGGAGAATAGCTGGAATCTGGGAAGCAGAAGTTGCAGTGAGCCGAGATTGTGCTGTTGCACTCCAGCCTGGGCGACAGAGCAAGACTCCATCTAAAAAAGTAACAGAGCCTGGCAAAGGGTGAGTCCCATCCATGTGTTTGCTGCTGTTACTCTTATTATTTTAACATATTTTTCTTCCTCAATACAAAGAGAACTCTTTCCCCCTTGCTCCCTTCCTTCCTGCTTAGTTCATTGATAGGAAGATGTAAGACCCGGAGCTATGGCAGCCATTCTGTGACCAGAAGGTAACAAGTTGAGGGTGTGAAGCTATCATTCTGAGGAAGGTAGAAGACGGGGTCCTTGCTGATATTAACAAGGCTTTGCACCAAACCCCACAATCCCCTAACGCCAGACTTACTCTCAGATGACATCACTGAATGCCTTTATTGCTTAAGTCATGTTAATTGGATTTTTCTGTTTCTTGCAGCCAAATGTATCCCCACAAATTCATCTCTGCATGGCCAGCACTGAACCCAGAGAAGGTGGTCAATTAATATTTCATAAAAATTTTAATCATATAGGACATGTCTCAGCCCAGGCATATGAGCCTCTTCAATTATGAATGCTGCAATGGAAAAAAAAAAAAACAAGGTTGCAAATCTCTCTTGGAGATGCCAAGGCCTCAGAGAAGAGATTTTGAACTGGATATATTTTGGTTTTGCCTGACCAGCATCCATTACTCCTGGTAACAGCCCCTCAATTTTCCTTTAGAAATGACCTCCTTTCCCACTCCCTCAAATGGCGGGACACATGACTCCAATTCGATCGATTAGAGCAAGCGCTCCATCTCCAGAGTGAAGTAGCAAGCCTTCCCTCGTCCTCTCTTGTGATGGCCTTTGCTTAAGTGGTTCTCTCTGCTCAGGACAGTTCCCATCACTCTCCCCTTACCACGCCTTCACCTGGCTCATTTCTACAATATCACCTTCTCCTCCAAAACTTCTGTATACTACACCAGGATTTCTATTGCTTTTATTTATTTATTTATTTATTTTACTTATTTACTTTATTTATTTTGAGACAGAGTCTCGCTCTGTCACCCAGGCTGGAGTGCAGTGGCACAATCTGGGCTCACTGCAACCTCCACTTCCGAGTTCAAGTGATTCTCCTGCCTCAGCCTCCTGAGTAGTAGCTGGGATTACAGGTGCCTGGGTAATTTTTTGTATTTGTAGTAGAGATGGGGTTTCACCATGTTAGCCAGGATGGTCTCAATCTCCTGACCTCGTGATCTGCCCGCCTCTGCCTCCCAAATTGCTGGGATTGCAGGCATGAGCCATCGCGCCCGGCCTGTTTTACTTTGTTTTGTTTTTGAGACAGAGTCTTGTTCTGTTGCCCAGGCTGGAGTGCAATGGTACAATCTCGGCTCACTGCCATCTCCGCCTCCCAGGTTCAAGCAATTCTCCTGCCTCAGCCTCCAGAGTCGGTGGAACTACAAGTGCCCGCCACCATGTGCAGCGAATTTTTGTACTTTTAGTAGAGAAAGGGTTTGGCTGTATTGGCCAGGCTGGTCTCAAACTCCTGACCTCAGGTGATCTGCCCGCCTCCGCCTCCCAAAGTGCTGGGATTACAGGCATGAGCCACCACGCCTGGGCTCTTTTGCTTTTTTATGCTCAACAGGCTTTCTTATTTTTTTGTTTCTTTTTGAGCATATAACAGCAACAAGCTTTCTTTGTTTTCATTTTTGTTTGTTTGTTTTAAGCAACAAGGTCTTGCTCTGCCATCCAGGCTGGAGTGCAGGGGCTCAATCATAGCTCACTACTGCCTCAGACTCCTGGACTCAAGGAACCTTCCCACCTCAGCCTCCTGAGTAGCTGGGACTACAGGTACATGCCACCAGGCTTGGCTAATTTTTTATTTTTTACTTTTATTTTTGTAGAGACAGTCTCGCTATGTTGCCCAGGCTGGCCTCCAGCTCCTAGCCTCAAGTGATCCTCCCACCTTGGCCTCCCAAAGTGTTGGGATTATAGGTATGAGCCACCACACCCAGCCAACAATATGTCTTATCCTTCATTTTTGTTGGTATTAGCTTCAACCACATGTAATTGCCAATACTCTATAATGTCTGACCTACAAAAACCGCAAGTTCATACGGTTCAACCTAATATTTAGCAATCCCCCTCTTCTCAGGATATACAACCTGGACATAGGACCCACCTACCCCAACCTGGCCAATCAAAGCATTCCATTTATTCCCATGGATGCCACAATCAGTGCAGGGGTTCCC